AGTTCCTTATGGGGCTTCGTGATGAGTTTGAGGGACCTCGTTCTCAGATCTTGTCGATGTTGACACTTCCTTCTCTTTATGAGGTGTATGGGATGATTGAGCAGCATGAGCGTCGAGTCCGTATTGCATCACTTCCAGTTGCAGCTTTGACTCCTTCGATTGACCAGATGGCCCTTGCAGCTGCTGTAGGGTCCCGTTCAGGATCCTTAGTCAGGGATGGGCAACGCTCAGACCAGCGCCGTCAGGGCGCCCCAGATCAGCGCAGACGGGGGGATTCCCGTCAATGTGATTATTGTGGCCGACCAGGACATCTCAGGGCTACTTGCTGGAAGCTCCATCCAGAGCTTAAGCCACCTTCTCGCAGCCGTACTGTTGCTATTGCTGAGGTACCACCGCCCACTACCGCCACTCCTGCTACTGCTCCTCCTTGGCAAAGTGATATGGATGCTATCACTTCCCGATTAGATATACTTATGTCTGCTTTGACTTCTCAGAGTCTGACTACTGCTGCTGTCACCACTACAGGTATATCTCGTGCCTTTCACGCTTGTGCCAGTTCATCTCCCCTTTGGATGTTGGACTCGGGTGCGAATGGTCACATGACAGGTGAGGCCCATCACTTCACCACTTTTGACGAGCCGTTACATACACAGGTTCAGTTAGCAGATGGAACACATGCCCCTATTGTTAGTAGGGGTACAGTCCGTCTCCCAGATGGCCTTACATTACATTCGGTTTTTCATGCGCCAAAGTTGGCCATGAATCTATTATCTGTACATCAGTTAGCCAGAGATTTTCACTGTGCGGTTGTATTCTTATCTGATTCGTGTTATTTGCAGGACCTGAGTACCAGGAGGATTATTATCAAGGGACATGAGAAAGATGGACTGTATTATCTTGGCAATCCATCTCCAGTTTCACCAATTCCTTCACCTGCACCTGCTTTGTCTTTTTCTGTTCCTAGCTTGCATGCTAGTATTTTACCTAGTAGTTGTCGTTATGATTTTTCGTCACAAACTGTTCAATTGTGGCATGACCGTTTTGGACATACAAATTTTAAATATTTATGTATGTTGTTTCCTGCTTTGAGTAATGCTTGTGTTGGTGGTAAACTTGATTGCGTTATCTGTTCCCTATCAAAACATGTTAGGGCCAATTATATTCCTCGCATGCACCAGTCACCCAAGCCATTTGACCTAATACACTCTGATATTTGGGGACCCTCTCCCGTTACTGCTCTGTCAGGTGCCAGATATTATGTGACATTTATAGATGATCATACCCGTTGTACTTGGGTCTACCTTTTGCATAGGAAGTCTGATGTGCTCCCTATAATCACTCAGTTTTTACAGATGATTAAGACACAATTCGATGTCATTGTTCGTGCTCTTCGTTCGGATAATGCCAAAGAATATGTGTCTGATGCTTTAGTGTCTCACCTTTCTTCTCAGGGTATCCTTCAGCAACTCACTTGTCCATATACTCCTGAGCAAAATGGTGTTGCTGAGAGGAAAAATAGGAGTTTGATAGGGATGGTACGTTGTCTGCTTAGAGGCATGAGGGTACCAAAATCTTATTGGCATTTTGCTGTTTTGACTTCTACCTTTCTGTGCAATCGTACGCCGAGTCGTGTTCTTCAGCATAAGGCTCCCTTACAGGTCTTATTTCCTGAGCGGACACTTTTTCCGGTCCCCCCTCGTGTTTTTGGATGCACATGTTTTGTTCAGGATCGGTCTCCTACTCGTCATAAACTTGATGATAAAGCGATTCGTTGTATCTTTGTGGGCTATTGTCATCAATCTAAGGGGTATCGATGTTATGATCCTATTAGGCGTCGTATGTATCACAGTCTAGATGTTACCTTTCTTGAGCATATTCCTTATTTTCCTTTCAGTCCTTTGTCTGCCCCTCCAGTTGATGATACTCCCTTTGATTTTCCATTACCACAAGAGTCAGAGTCATTGATCACTATCCCTACAGGGTCATCCGTTTTTCCTCCAAAGGAGTCACTCATCCCTGTCAGTACAGAGTTACCAGTCTCTCTTCCTTTGCAGGTGTATGCTCGTTGTCCTCGCTCTCATCACCCTGCTGATATCCCCTCTACCTCAGGCGATGCAGGTAATACTTCTCAGTTTGTTGAGCATATTGATGCACCTGTTGTTAGTACTGATGAGATTACAGGTGCTGAGCCAGTTACTTTACCTGATAAGATATTATCAGTAGAGGATGGTGATTTAGGGCGTCGTTATCCAAGGCGTGATCGCCGTCCAGTTGATCGATATGGTTGGACCGCCAAGATTTTATATCCGATCTCTGCTTATGTTTCTTATGGTAATCTGTCTCCCACATTTCGAGCTTATACTATGGCCTTATCAGATACGCTGGTTCCTCGCTCTATTTCGGAAGCTATGCGGGCCCATGTAGACAGAGATGGACGCTCTTCAGCGTAATCATACATGGGATCTTGTCTCCTTACCTTCAGGGGTGAAGCCTGTTGGCTGTCGCTGGGTTTACACCCTGAAGTTTCTTGCGGATGGTACTATTGATCGTTACAAGGCTAGACTTGTGGCGAAGGGCTTTACTCAGGTACCAGGTCGTGATTTTGGTGCTACATTTGCCCCCGTGGCAAAATTGACTACTGTTCGGTTAATTATTTCTCTGGCTGCGGAGTACTCTTGGCCTCTTCATCAATTAGATGTGAAGAATGCGTTTCTTCACGGTGATCTGGACGAGATTATTTATATGGATGCACCACCGGGCTTTCGTGGTGAGGGGGAGTATGCTGGAAAGGTATGTCGACTGCGTAAGTCTCTTTATGGACTGAAACAGTCGCCACGAGCCTGGTTCTCTCGCTTCAGTGATGTAGTCATACGATTGGGGTTCACCAGGTGTCATTCTGATCATACCTGCTTTATTCGACGGAATACTTCTGGACAGTGTGTCATCCTTCTGGTATATGTTGATGATATTATTATTACTGGTGATGATGTTTCTGGGACTGCGCAGGTCAAGATAGACCTTGGGAAGGCCTTCGATGTGAAGGATCTTGGATTTCTGCGATACTTTCTTGGGATTGAGGTTGCCCGTAGAAGCAGAGGTATTGTTCTTTCTCAGAGAAAGTATGTTTTGGATCTTCTTTCAGACACTGGGATGTTGGGGTGCAAACCGGCATCATCACCTATGATTCCAAACCTGAAGCTTACTGCTGAAGGTGAGGAGTTGAAAGATCCGACAGTTTATCAAAGATTGGTAGGTAGACTTATCTACTTAGCCAATACTAGGCCGGACATTTCATTCGCAGTCAGCCGAGTTAGTCAGTTCATGCATAGGCCATGTCAGCCTCATCTTGATGCAGTTTATCATATTCTTCGGTACCTCAAGTCTTGTCCTGGACTTGGGTTGTTTTATGCATCAGGATCTCAGACCGGTTCTCTAGCCTGTTATTCAGATTCAGATTATGGGGGAGCATGTGATGGTCGATCTACTACGGGTTTCTGTGCTTTTCGAGGGACTCATCTTATCTCTTGGAAGAGCAAGAAGCAGGCAGTTGTCTCCCGCTCGTCCGCAGAGGCAGAGTATCGGGCATTGGCACTTGGCACATGTGAGATTATCTGGCTACGATCGATTCTTGACGAGTTGGGTTTTTCAGTGACCTCTCCATCCACATTATATTGTGATAATCAATCTGCTATTCAGCTCGCTTCTGACTCTGTACTACATGAGAGAACGAAGCATATAGAGATTGATGTTCACTTTCTTCGGGAGAAGGTCAGCAGTGGTCTTGTTACTCCATCGTTTGTGGGGACCAGTGATCAAGTTGCGGATGTTTTTACCAAACCTGTCACTCTGTCTATTCTTCGGGACTCCGTTGTCAAGCTTGACTTAGTTGACATTTTTGCGCCTAGCTTGAGGGGGAGTGTTGGAGTATAGATAGTCTAGGTTTATTAGGATTTCTTTTCTCTTTTTTACCCTTACTATGATTTTTATATTTTGCCTAAACTACAAGGATGTTTAAGTCACTCTGTATTATTTTTGGCTATATATACGGGACTCTACTTTGAGTTTGAGTATCCCTTTCACATATTTCAAGTGTAAGCAACTATTATGATATCATCTTGGCTGTAGTGCTTTCTATAGGAGTAGCGTTCCTCCTCTCCAAGGCTTTGAGAAGAGGCTCACATAAGGCGGATGGCATTCCCGGCCGGCTTGGACTCCCTTTAGTTGGTGAAACTTTCTCATTTCTGGCAGCAACCAACAGCACTAAAGGGTGCTACGATTTTGTCAAACTCCGACGATTATGGTATGCATTCATGTTCCATATTGATCAATATAAGTTTTAGATCATAAACAGATACCATGTTAATATTCCTCATATCACTCATCAAATTGTTGTTCTTTCTCCAATTACTACATAGCAACATTAGATTGACATAATATAGCTTGATTCAACATACCAGGTGAAGGTTTTTCAATGGTACATGCAAGTTATTTTTGATAGTGCACCAAAGTTTAAGGCCAAACTAAGCCAAGTTACCACTCAAATAGGAGAAGGTATAATTTTCTAGGGCAGATTATAATTAATCCCCAAAAGTTGGGATCCATCCCAATGTTTCTACAATTGGTTTCAACATTTCTGGACCATATCGAGTCAAAACTTTAACCTGCTAAAATCATAACCTAACATCATAGAAATTTACCATCGAATAAAAGAACATTCATTGTATCAATTTCTGTGCACTATTTAACACAAGCAAAACGGTTAGTAACCAACAAGTCTAAGAACTTAAGGAGATAGAGAGGTATAGCATAAATACTTGTCTGAAAAGAAAATTCATATGTACATGTCTGAGAATTATAGGCACATACCAACACAAATCATGCAGACTGATTCTGATGCATATATATTTTGAACTAGGCATGGAAAGTGGTTCAAACAAGGCTATTCGGAAACATCCATGTCTATGTTCCAAGTGTTGAAGGGGCAAAAACAATATTAAGAAATGACTTTGGACTATTCAACCGGGCTTATGTCAAATCAATGGCAGATACTGTGGGGAGGAAGAGCTTGCTCTGTGCTCCTCAAGAGACTCAAAAGGATTAGGCGTCTTCTCGCTGATCCCTTTTCTATGAATTCTTTATCCAAGTTTGTTCAGAAATTCGACAAAATGCTGTGTGAAAGGCTGAAGAAAAAAGAAGATGGGAAAAGCTTTGCGTTGCTTGACTTTAATATGAAGGTAATTAACTACCCAATTTGTATGATTGCATTATTTTTGTTTTACTTTCTTATTTATTGCTTTTTCTAATATTTTTATTTATGTCATTATCATGACTGGCCCCTTTTTGTTTTGTCCTTGTGGTAGGATATGTTGGAATGATATTAAAGACTAACTGCTATGGTGCTCATTTTTTGATCCTCTTAATTGAGAATTATCCAAATTACATGTCATTTGGACTCAAAGTTGCAACAAAAACAATTGATACACAAAATAATCCAAAACCAAGCACGTTGATTGATGTAGGTTTACGCTTTGTTCCTTTTCAACCACTGAGCCAACCTGTGTGAATTTATGCCTTGCCCCTTGTTCTACCAGTATCTCAACTGTGAGGGTTGTCTTTTAAGAACTGATCCTGAAAACCCCTCTCCCTCCATATATTCTTCATTTGTGTTTTTTTTTTTTTATCATTATCAACCCCAAGTATTTAAAAAGCTTGTGCTAGTATTTTCATCTGATAATTAGTGAACTCATTAAGACGTGAGTGTGACATCAAGGAACAAAGATAACAGGGTGACCAGTTCCCAAAGACTCCCAAAATGGTCCGAGTACAAAATTTATAAATTAGAACTAGTCAGGTTGCTAACCTCAATGGAAATTTCTGGTGCAGATATTCTTTGATGCAATGTGCGACATGCTGATGAGCATCACGGATGATTCGTTGCTTAAACAACTTGAGAAAGACTTCACTGCTGTATCTGATTCCATGATATCCCTTCCTTTCATGATTCCCGGCACCAGATACTACAATGGCATCAAGGTGAGCTTTGCAAGTGCAACTGCCTGAGGTGTCTAATAGTAAATGAGAGATTATACGTTGGGAAAGAGTATTTTTGAGACATCTAACCATGGTATGTTTTTCTTCAACCTTATATCATTTGCTTCTAACCAAAACAATTTGAGCAGGCATGTGATAGGATCATCCAAACATTTGGAGGTATGATTGCCGTCGAAGGCGTGGAGAGGAACCTCCTGAAGACTTCCTGCAATCCATGTTACAGAGAGATTCATATCCAGACAATGAAAAGCTTGATGATTTGGAGATCATGGACAATATATTAGCATTGATCATTGGCGGGCAGTCTACCACTGCAGCTGCAATAATGTGGAGTGTCAAGTTCTTGGATGAAAACAGAGCAGTGCAAGACAGGCTTAGGGTGAGAATTTATACCTAATTGTTTGCTAATGCTTGTGTGCATGTATAAAACCTGGAGCTCAATCTCTTCCATGCCAATCATTCTTTAGATTGATATATTAGTAATGCTTTGGAAAAAGCAGGTAACACTATGCATTGATAAGTAAAAACAATGTCAAAATTGAAATTTTCAACAAATGAAAACACAATTCTTCTTCCTCCTCTTATCTCTCTCTCCCCCCCCTCCAAAAGAAACCACTCTCTAGCCCATGTGACATATCCGTCCATTTCTCTCCCTCTACTTTTCTTTTTATTGGATTTTTCGATTGTATTTTTTAATTTTTGGAAGAGGGTCGGGTGCAGAGAGTTCAATTGCATTTCAGTTCTGAAGCACAATATTAATGTTGCACTGATGACTTATTATATGATGCCACAGGAAGAACAATTGTCAATAACTCGAAACAAGCCAGATGGAGCCCTACTTACCCTTCAAGATCTTGACAGCATGGCCTTTGGATCAAAGGTTTGGTAGCAAGATCAATTCTTTCTGCGTCGATATTGATTTTGCAAGCTGATACTCTTTCCTCAACCGCTTGCTCTGCACTTGATTATCTGATCTCTCTCTCTCTCTCTCTGGAATGGTGTTCAACGACCACTTCCACGCATTTTTCAGGTACTCAAAGAGACACTAATGAATGTCTTGCTGTGGTATCCTCGTGTTGCACTTGATGATTGCACAATTGAAGGCAAGTTTAACATTAATTTCATAAACAATTAAGTACAAAAAAGGAAGCATTACGCCATTGCTATCTGTTGTTTCATCCTAATAAAATCTCTTGAAGTGGGGCTTCCAAGAGAGAATCTGCAATTGTTCGCCAACAATTGCAAGTATGAAGGCACCCCGAAGTTCTCTCCTGATCTTGACATGATAATCAAAGTAGTTTTCCTTAAGCCTGTGTTTGCTACGTTTAGTGCAAACATGTGCTTCATATGGTCACATGGTGATGGCAGGTTTCGAAATAAAGAAAGGCTGGCATGTTAACATCGACGCAACTTGCATACACTATGATCCAGAATTGCACAAGGCCCCTCTGCAGTTCAATCCTTCCAGATTTGATGTAATTAATAATTTTCCTACTCTGCTCGTAGATATTTCTTTTTCTTTTTGGTAGAAAAAAAGAAATAATTGGATGTTTCATGTCTCCAGGAGATGCCAAAGCCATTTACTTACATACCCTTTGGATCAGGACCCAGGACATGCTTGGGAAACAATATGGCAAAAGTGACAATGCTGGTGTTCTTACACAGACTGACTGGTGGATACAAGTGAGTCCACATCTTTTATGACATTTTCATTCTACCTTAATTTTCAGTAATTAATACTTCTTCTTTTATGCATAGGTGGACGGTTGACGATCTAGATCCAAGCCTAGAAAGGAAATCACCTATTCCCCGACTGAGAAGCGGATGTCCAATAACCTTGACGGCCTTAAATGATGGGAAAAATACAGAAACAAGTTGAGAAATTTGTTTCCATGAGAAGTGTTAAAAGCAAATGCAAGCTTAGGAGGGTTTCCTGAGTAATATGTGATTGAATGTGGAAAAATGTGTGTCGAATGCAGAAATACTTTGTTTCTATGTAAACCGAAATATATGTTGGAAGCTTAAGGCGATAAACCATCTTTCAGTTTTTGTTCATTTTGACAAAAAAAAACAGCACTATCCCATGAAACTATGTACTATTGTGATGCTAATATGGGTGAGCTATATATTCCAACCAACCAACCAAACTAAATCTTATATACCAATCTTTTGGGTCGGTTATTTGAGTTTGTCTTCGTCATTCATTTCGGTCATATGCTATATGCTCATTTAAATTAAATATTTTTATATTTTTTTTTATTTTGTTCAATGTTAATTTAGATCTACCCCTACTTCTAGTACTATTAAGAAAAATTTTATCATTTTTTTTAATCGGTGCCTCTATCGGCCTTAGTTGAACATAACCAAACCATTTTAATCTATCCTCCTTCAACTTATCCTCAATTGGAGCTACTCTTATCATTTCTTTAATATGGTCATTTCGTAATCTATCATTTTTTATTTTTCCATACGTCTTCTTTAATATTTTTATTTCCGCTACACTCATTTTGTAACTATGTTATTTTCTAGTTGCTCAACATTCTATTACATACAATATTGTTGTCCTTATAGCTATTTGGTAGAACTTGTTTTTCAATTTTATTGATATCTTTCTATCACATAATATGACAGATGATTTCCTCCATTTAAATCAATCGGTATTGATTCTATGAGTTATATCGTCTTCAATCTCTCTATTATTTTTAATGATCGATCTTAAATATCTAAATCGTTTACTTGTTGATATTTTTTAATTTTTAATGTTAACTTCTTTTTTTTTTGGGAGAACCTCGACGGTGCGAGAGAATTTTATTGATTAAAAATCAAATTACACCTAGTTAGGAGAAACATATGTACCTTTCCCCTCGATACAATCTAATTACAATCCAATAAAGAATTAAAAATTCTAATGCATGATTTTAGATGGAAATACTAAAAATATTCTGGAAAGCATAATTTCCTAAAATGCTTCTATCCAATGCAGCCTGTTTGAAACCAACGGCTGAGCTGACTGCTGAACTGAACAGTGATGTGAACAGTCCAACTGCAGCATACCAGCCGAAAGAGTTCAGTTGCAGCAGTCAAAATCCAGCTGCACATTAACGTGACTATTGTCCAGCTGCACAGTAGCGTGAACAACTGAGAGCTTTAGCTAAGAATATGAGAGCATGAGCTGGGAGTATCAGCAGCTGGAAGCATGAGTTGGGAGTATCAGCAGCTGGAAGCATGAGCTGAGTCTCTGAAGCTAAGAGCTATGACCAGCTAGCCAATCATATATGATAAGGCGGCAAGTGTAAAACGAAAGACCATTCCAGACGAAAAGGCAGATCAGTAATAACTGCCATTCAGGTCGGACCTTCAAACTTAGGCATATTCCATGTCAGATGGATAGTCACAGGGAAGCTACACATCTCTGTACCAGCCATTACGAACGATTGAAAGACTGAAATATAAAAGTTTCAGAAAGGCTCTGAGAGTCAAATGGAGAAAAGCCAGAACAATGGAGAAGAACAATGAACCAGTAAATAGGATCCATTTCCCTTCTGTGAGCAAAGAAGACAAGTATCCTCGAAGCCTCTGTATAGAAGATGACTATCCAGCCTTGAAGAGGAATCTCCAATCCTGCAGATCCAATGGAGAAGATGAATATCCAGCTAGTTGCAGAAGGATAGCCGTGGAACAATGAAGAACCCTGAAGCCAGACTAACTGATGGTGCTAAAAAATTGAGAGGCATGAGATGGAGAGCTGGATGAGCTCTTGGTGGGTGTGTCGTATGTGTGTAAAAATGAATGAGAATATACAAGAAAATAAGTGGTTCACCAGCTGAAAAGCTTGACTAATTCACTGTAATAGAAGTTCTTGCTCTTTGATTGTATACTGTTTTCTTGAAGAAGAAGAGTACAATAGAGATTTTTCCTTACTTGAGGCCCCTTTTTACATAGAGATCACTGTCTTTTATAACAGGATATTAGGAGAATATTTAAAGAATATTCTGTGTGGCTTTTTGTCCAATATATGGCTTGATGGTGAAAACCTTTTTCTACCCCTTCTAGTAGTTTCTTTATTGTTTGTTGCCTCATGTATTTTTTCGGTATCTTCAATTTGACGCCGTCTATGAGAAAAGTTAACTGATTGATGAGCAAGGAATGTGCGCAAGGCAATATCTTAGTTGAAAAGTCAGGTCTTGCGGTGATTGATGAGTAAGGCAATATTTTAGTTGAAAAGTTAGGTCATACTTCGAGTGAAGACCCAAATTATTCCTTAGCTGAAGAGCCAAGTCGAGCTGAAGAGTCGGGTCATTCCTTGGTTGAGGAACTAGGTCAACTAAGGGGTCAAGTCGGCCTGAAAAGCCAAGTCGGCCCTTGGCTAAGGAGCCAAGTCGACTGAAGAGCCGGATCATTCCTTGGCTGAAGAGCCCTATCATTCTTTGGCTAAAGAGCCACGTTGTTCCTTGGGTGAAAGTCAGGTTAGCTGAGGAGCTAGGTCTTTCCTTCCAGATTATTTCTTGGTTGAAGAATCAAGTCGTTTTTGGGCTAAGGAGTCAGGTCGACTGAAGAGCCGGATCATTCCTTAGCTGAAAAGCTAGGTCATTCCTTGGCTGAAGAGCCACATCGTTCCTTGGCTGAAAAGTCAGGTCGGCTGAAGAGCCACGTCTTTCCTTGGTGGAAAAGTCAGGTCATTTCTTGGTTGAAGAGCCACATCTTTCCTTGGCTGAAAAGCCAGGTCATTCCTTGGCTGAGGAGCCAGGTCGGTCCCTGGATGAAAAGCCAGGTTGGCTGAAGAGCCAAATCCTTCCTTCCAAATTATTCCTTGGCTGAAGAACAAAGTCGTTCCTAGGCTAAGGAGCCAGGTTGGCTGAAGAGTCGGATCCTTCCTTTGTTGAAAAGCCAGGTCATTCCTTAGCTGAAAAGCTAAGTCGACTGAAGAACCACGTCTTTCCTTAGCTGAAAAGTCGCATCGTTCCTTGGCTAAAAAGCCAAGTCATTCTTTGGCTGAAAAGCCAGGTCGGCTGAAGAGCCAGGTCGTTTCTTGGCTGAAAAGCCAGATAGTTCCTTGACTGAAAATCCTGGTCGATTGAGGAGCCACGTCTTCCCTTGGCTGACAAGCCAAGTTGGCTAAAGAGCCACGTCGTTCCTTGGCTAAAAAGACAGGTCGGTCCTTGGCTGAAAAGCCAGGTCGACCGAAGAGCCGCGAATTATATATGTAAGACTTTAGCAGATTGTCACAGATATGAGGGGTGATTGTGCCAACAACTATTAATGGTGTTACTCCTTTCTGTAGAATTTCTTCTTGGGCATCTAAGAAGGCAACCTGAAGTTGCTCGGAGTGCACCAAATGCGCGTGGCTGATTTTTGGGATTTCGACTCATGCTTATGTCTTGAACCATTGGTCAATCGTTAAGGATTTGATTTAGAACGATGAAAATCCTTCCCATAGACGACACTAAATCGATGGTGCTAAAAAATCGAGAGGCATGAGGTGGAGAGTTGGATGAGCTCTTGGTGAGTGTGTAAAAATAAATGAGAATACACAAGAAAATAAGTGGTTCACCAGCTGAAAAGCTTGACTAATCCACTGTAATGGAGACTCTTGCTCTTTGATTGTATATTATTTTCTTGAAGAAGAAGAGTACAATAAGATTTTTTCCTTACTTGATGCCCTATTTTTACATAGAGATCACTGCCTTTTATAACAAGTACTAGGAGAATATTTAGGAAATATTCAGAGAATATTCTGTGTAGTTTTTTGCCCAATATATGGCTTGATGGTGAAAACCCTTTTCTACCCCTTCTGGTAGCTTGTTTGTTATTTGTTGCCTCATGTAACAATTCCAAGAAAAGCTAAAGAGAAGGAGGCTTGGAATTTGAAGCGACTGAATCTGTAAAGTCTTTTCCTGTCTCAACCCTGATTGAAGAACCAATAACGAAATGTCTAGAGGCAGAGAGAAATTACAACAGACTAGCGCAGAGAGATCCACGCATAGTTTTCCAAAATAATTCAGAAGGATCAAGAAGACCCGCAACCGATCCATATAGAGAGGGAGATTTAAACACTGAGGGAGACACTATGTCTACTCCTTTTATTACTAAAATTGTATTCAATATATTTAATTTTATTCTTACTTATTTTAAATCCTTTTAATTCGAGTGTGTTTCTCCAAAATTTTAAATTATTATTAATCTCTATTTGAGTTTCGTCTACTAAGACAACGAATAAATACTATAGGTGAGCTATATATAGGGGCGGTTCAAGCCAATTTAAGGCCTATGACGGAAAACATTGAATGGAGGTCTTTTTATTTTTAATATTATTTATTTAAAAAAATTAATTTATTTTTAATTTTTTATGTACACTAATGCTATTTGGACATAATTTAGATATTTAATGCATTATGATTATTGGATTGATAGTGTTGGGACTCAGTGATAATTTAATGTTGGGACCCACTAACAATCTAATGACCACAATCGTTAAGTCCCTAAATTATGTTCTCAAATTTTGTCCCAATAATATTGCTCTTTTATCTAAGAGAGAGACAAAATAAAGATGTGTTAATGTTGTCGAAAAAAAGATTTCAACTTTTGTTTTTTTTTTTTATCACAAAGAGGGAGAGAAAGTGTTTAATTTTAATTTTTTTTTTTACCGTAGAGAGAAAGAATGGGTGGGAGTAAATATAAGTTGAATTT